TTTATCTTGGATCATCACCATATTCTATGATAAGTTAAAGATACATTTCAGATTTAAACTGCACAGGGAGGAGGGTGGGGAACTGGGTGGCAAGAGGATGAATGAGTGGTTGGGCAGGCTGGTGGATGGAGGGGGGCCGTACAATGGGTGGGGTACAGGGAGGTGCTGGGGTGGGTGTCAAGCCGCACTGCTCAAGGAGGATCTTGTGGTGGAATGAACCTCTTGCCGGTCCAATAACTAGATTAGCATTTTGAACGGGAGGTGGAACGGCGGTCGCAACGGCGAACGAACAGGGATCTATCGCAATGGCCAATCGGAGGCCAGCTCGAGCACGCAAAAGGATCACCTAAAAAAGGATCGCACAAGGCCAAAAAAACTTTTCACTTTCACACTCTCTCCCGCTCCCCTAACTATTGCATGCTCTTGCTAACTAATGGCGAACATAGGAGAATATATCTGCCACAGCGACGCCGATAAACCACAAAGTCTCCCCTCACCCCCCCCCCCACGGTAAGTCCTCCACTTCCTTCTATCAAACAAACACAAACTTACAAAGGGAAGACAAACTCGCGCCTCCCCCCCCCCCCAGGTAACCCCCCTCCGTATTCTCCGAGCAAACAAGAGAAGCTAACAAAGAAAGACAAACTTGCGCTTCCACCGTGCGCCATTCCGCGCCTTTCATGCGCTTCTTCTCCTCGCGCATTCCCGCGCTCTCTGTCGCGCTCCGGCGCTCTTCCTGCGGTCCTCCACCGCGCGCTCTTCTGGCGCTTTTCCCACGGTCCTCCACCGCTCTCCTGCTGCGGTCCTCCGCCGGTCCTCCACCGCTCTCCTGCTGCGGTCCTCCGCCGCGCTCCTTCCGGCGCCTTTCCTCTGCGCTTCGCCGCCATCGTGCGATATCTCCCATGCGCTATCCCAGCGCTCTGCCTTGCACTTCCGAAGCGCTCTTCCGAAAAACTAACAAACAAGCAAACAAGCAAACCAATGTGGGATGGGAAGGAAGGGGGGGGACTGGGGGGGGTTAGGAAATGGGAATGGGGAGAAGGAGGGAAGGGTATGAGGAGGAGGGGGAGAGGGGGAAGGGGATGGTACCGGGCAGGTGTGGGGAGTAGCTTGGATTTCCAACATAGCAGCTAGAGCGATGGCAAGCATGATCCAGGAATGAATAGACAATACAATACTTTTCTGCAGTTTTTCGCAATAATTTTCATACTTTTATATACTTGTGATTTATTTTGACATCTGGCCACTTCCCGGTCAAATACGTTATGAAATCGCTCTCCAAATAACACCTCGCTGGCAGTGTAGCCAAATGCGATTAGTGTGTGTATGATTTAGAGCTTATTCCCGGCTCCCTGCAAACGGACCGGTTCTGCTCTCTCTACCCAAGTCATCAATGATTACATTTGTATTGTATTTTATTTTTTGTAAGAGGATTTCTTAAACAGATTATATATTAGTTCTCATCGCTAGCAAAAGGGAAGAGAGCATGAGGAAGAAGAGGGAGAATGCAACGAGGTGGGGAGACCAAAGGGACGAAAAGGACGTGAGTGATTAGGTAGAGAATTATGCGGGAATGACCCAACTCCTGGAGCCGGTCTGCTCTAGCTTCGGCGTGGGCAACTTTCAAGTTGCCATAATGCAAAGAAGGTGGTTGGGGCCCTGCAAGCAATCCGGATGTGTGCGATCGCAAAAACGGACCACTATAGTATCCGGGGGTCTTCAACAACGAGCGGGTGCTCATAATAGCGCTAGGGAATCTAAACGAAGCACCACAGACTAAGTGTTATGGCTCCATGATGCCGGCCCTAGTAACGATCGGCATCAACAATATCTATTGAAATTAATGCATTAATCTGTTTCATGTTATTTTTTGGGATATCCGGTTATTTAGGCACGTGGGGGATGAGAACTCGGTAATCCCTAGGTTATGTAGGAGCGGTGGTCAAACGGATAGCGCTCAGGGAAGATTATTATTCTAGAAGGATAAATGTGTCTGGGCGGCGTGTATAGGGCATTGCTGTTTCCACCCGCTGAGGTGAATGGTTTTTTTCTTGTGATGGAGCAGGTTAGCCACATGAGCCTGAGAGATCTTAGTCAAAAGCGACCAAACCGGACATCAATACCCCAATATTTCCCTCACATGTTTCCCCCCTGGGCAATTTTCCGCTGTTCTCTTGGAGAAGGGGTTGTCATCTGCTATGCGCGGGGAGCAAGGTCCAGAGTAAGCGACGTTTCATGTTTTCTCACACGCGCATATTAAGGCTATTGAATAGTACCTGGGGTTTTGCCTAAGTGGTTTGGGGAAGAGGGAAGGCGAAGAGCGTATTGGGATATATGGGGATTTCAAGCTTGTGCGTAAGCCGTTAGAGCAGTCAGGTAAGGGATGGAAATTTGACTTTAGGTGCAGTATAGTATAGATTGCATACCACCTTAAACAGCCTTTCAGGACCTGTCAACAATCCCTTTCACAGAGCAGTCCTCTCAGAATAGCCGTAAAACATATAAGATGAAATGTGTAGTTACATAAACCATGAGGTCCAAAAGTCCGCCGTAGCCACCTCTCTAGAAAACTCCAAATCCAAATACATCCTCCTCGTAATTCTAAAGTTGAGCACCTACATGGGGTCGAACATAGAGTCACCCATACGCTAGTAGATGATCCACAAAATATAGGCTACGTTCGAGTGAGAATGAGAGTGTCTTATTATGCTTATTGTTTCTACCTAACTGGAGGTGTCCTGTATAAATAAAATTTGCCTTCATACAAAGTAGACTCTGCTACAATTCTCTTCCAACGTCTCCCACTCTACCTTCCTATTCTAACACATCCGCTTCATACCTTCTACACTCTTCAGATATCTCTCATGCACCTCATTCCGGCGACTATATCCACTTTCATCTAAACATGCTTCTTGATCCTCCCAAGTTTCGTCATGCTGTTACCACTTCCTCATAGTGCAACACTGGTCTGTATCAACCCCATGTACTCCTTCCGGTTCAACCTCCTAGTGTTCACACTAATTCCTGAAACCTCTAAAACACTGGTTCAATAAACAACTCCCATACTATTCTAAAAGTCCCGAACCTCTTCCCCTTATTCTCAAAATAACTCTTCAAACATACTTGGTATCATCGATGCAACACCATTCCCAATTCTTCTCTATCTCTCAAAAAGTTAGCGAGAATTGGTGGAAGCTTTATGAATTTCAACATTGATGATCTTCCCAGCAACGGGGTACAAAATGGCCCATACCATAGCGACCTGGAAAAATACACCTCATCCATGCCATAGAGTAGAAGTATAAATCCCGCTTGTTCAGCAAGATCCACGCCGCATTCCCATCTGGATCGCCCATGACGCCACGTTCGACCGGATATCAAGCCCAAAGTAACTCTCTCCCACCTCACCCCGGAGGTGGCTCCCCCACACCTACTGTTGGGGTAACGCTGTGCGTGGCGGTCGAGGATGTGCCTGGGACGTTCGTATCGAAAGGTCCCCCATCGTGGTCTCCCTGCACGCACCCGACATCCTGGCCTGGCCTAGGGTCTGACAAGGAACGTGTCTACTGAGGTGGAGCTCAAGTGCCTGCTGCGGCCTTGATTGGCAGGGTTTCACAAGGATGGGGGAGAGGACAATAGTTAAGGGGAGACTTACTGCAAAGCCCCCGGGGTGTGTCTGTTCCGGTTAGGGGGGCGTCTGGGGGTGAGTTCCCCCTTTTTTTGCGAACATTACTTACCATCCGAGGGTGATGGACGGATTGAACGATTGACGCTTGGTGTAGAATCATATGCAGTCACTCGACGGTTTCGCGATCATCATAGGTTTGGTGGCGGGGCTGGCTGACCACGCTCGGGTGAACTAAACAGAATGTGGTCGCAAAGTTGCGATAGGACCGGGGTGGCGTTTAACTAAAAATAAATCGGGATGTAAAAGCTTAATGATAATACAGGTAGTCAAGAAATTCACCAAAACAGTGTAACAAACTCAAGAAACATAAATCATAATACATTACCCACTGGAGGAGAAATGATGGACAAACCAACCAACGAGAAATATCCCGCACCTCCGTACACCCCTCGAAATATTCTCCCCTAGCTACTATAATAACTCACCCAACTAATCTACCCCACAATCCCATGATATTTGACGAACATCCCGAGCCTGACAATTCTTACGAACCAACGAGACAGGAAAAGCAACAAAAAAAAGCCAGGGCAGCCTCCAAAAGAGCGCGGAGCCTACGGCTCACAAGAATGATCACCCCCGAGGGTCGAAGAAGTTGTTGGAGCGCCTATTGGGCATGCAGGATAGCGGTTTGATAGAGAGATGGTTTGCGCTTCTAGGGCTTAGGTGTTAGGTCTCATGTCCGCGTTCTTGCCATCGGGCATTGGTTATGGCATTGGTTTTTTTCATGCCCCTGGGCATTTGGTTCTTTGTTGGAGGTTCATGAGTTCTAGTTTGGAGCATGGAGGATCATGGTCCGTTAGGATAGTGTGGTTCCCTTGTGATCGTTGCTATTCTTTGGAGTTCGAGAGTTCTTGTTGCTTTGGAGATATATATCTCCCATTCTGTCCTTAGCTAGATCATCATCCATCACCATTTTCTCTCCCCATCCTTCCTCACTTTCTCATCTTGAGTCCGTCGTTCTCGCACTTGTGTTGCTTCCCTCATCGGTGTCCTCCTTCCCTCTTCATCAGTAGTCACAGCCTAGCACGACCTAACCAAGTGAAAATCCCTCCCAGCATTACTATACATGACATATAACTAATGAGACAAAAACGCCACCGCAGCACAGCAGCTCCTGCCTTCTTTCCAATAGCTAGAGTACTCCTCCGGTCGGAAAACTAAATGCAATAAAAAATTGCCATCCAAGCGCATAGTAGTAGGTAGATTAGTTGCAATAGTACAATAGCAGCCCCGATTTCTCCAATCCCCATGTCCCCAGACCCCACCCAGGCTCCTCCCCTACCCCTATCTCCCATATCCTTCCAAAACACACTTAGGCTCTCCTCTGCATCATTCTCCGAAGTTTCCCCCACAGTCTCCGCCACAGTCTCCCACACAGTCTCCCCCAACCGCACCCGGTCTCCTCCTGGTTCTCCTCCTCGTTTCCCCCCCCGTTCCCCTCCCCGTTCCCCTCCCTATTTCCCTCCCTATTCTCCCCACCGGTCTCCCCACCGGTCTCTCCACTGCTCTGCTCCCTGATCTTCCCACCGGTCTCCTCCCTGGTCTCCTCCCTAACATCTTTCCTTATATCTTTCCCGGTCTCCCCCCCCTGATCCCCCTCCCTATCTTCCTGCCCAGTAACCTTCCCAGTCTCCCCTCCGGTCACCTCAGTCTCCCCTCCGGTCACCTCAGTCTCCCCTCCGGTCACTTCAGTCTCCCCTCCGGTCACCTCAGTCTCCCCTCCGGTAACCTCAGTCTCCCCTCCGGTCACCTCAGTCTCCCCTCCGGTCACCTCAGTCTCCCCTCCGGTTACCTCAGTCTCCCCCCCGGTCGCCTCAGTCTCATCCCTGGTCCTCCCAGTCTCCCTAGACTTCACCGGAGTCTCCGCCGTGGTCACCTCCCTGGCCTTCGCAGTTTTGCTTAGAATATTCGAACTATCTCTTCTCCCGAGGTTTTCACCCAATTCTACTGGTGTCAACCCCTTTCCATTCTTGGCACCCAGATCCGCACCCTTCTCTACCAGAAACCCGACGATATCCGGGTGGTCGAATTGAATGGCGAGGTGAAGCGGGGTATCGCCAAAGCTGTTCTCCCTATTTATTTGGCCACTATACGCTCTGTCCGTTGGTTTCGGGATTTTTTCTACCAGGGCCTCCAGCATGCTCCGATGACCTGAAATGGCGGCTGCGTGGAGCGGTGTGTTACCGTCTTTATCCTCCGCAGTGAGGAAGGATAGGTCCAGCTCGTCAATTAGGATCTCGTATACCCTGGACGGGGACTTTGCTGCTAGGTGTAGTGGTAGTTTATAGTTGCTCGTTTGTTCTGCATCGGAGTTTGGGGTTAAAAGGGCCTTTTTTACCAGTGGCATGAGCCCTAGACAGACCGCAACATGCAGTGGGGTCTGTTCCCCCGCTAAAATCTCCATCTTTGGATCTCTGCAGTGCTGAATCCACGGCTTTCGTATGAAGTCGCTGCTACCAAAGAACCCATAATCAAGCCAGTTATGAGGAGGGTTTTCGCAGAATTTGTGATCGGCAACCTCGATGCTCCGACGGGCGTGAAGGAACCAGGATTCTGCAGCATAGCCGAGATATGGCCACTTGTCCACCGGTTCCTGCTGGTGGTTATGCGCCACTTCCTGTGGAACTTCTGCTGGCTCCCCCAGATGATCTCCCTCCGAATCTGGCTGCGGGTATTTGCCGTAAGATCCCCCGCCAGCCCCCCCCGCAGCGGGTTTCTCTAGGTATTCGATGGCATAGTGAAGGTACTGGAAACACTCCCAAGAAACTATAAGGTCGAGCTCACTTTTGGGGTGTACCTGTGGATTATTCTGGGGGTTTTCGTCAAAAAGGGATTCCACGGCGGTATGATGGATGAGCGATACATGTGTAGAGGAAGCCAGGAGAAATGACAAAGAGTACTGGACGTACTGCTTGACCTCCTCCTCATCCTTCGGCTTAATTTTCCAGCCAGCGCCCCTAAGAGAGCCGTGTTGTAAGGGGTTTTCTTCTTCTTCCAAACATGCCAGGATATATCCGAGTTCTCTAAATTTGAGTGGGCGCAAAGCGAGCGCCACTCTCCGGATCACCTTGAGAACTTCTCCCGATCTTGGCCGCGACTGGATCTTGCCTAACATATTTCCATATATGTTTTTAAGCTCTGACGGGAATTCGCTTAGAAATTTTTCATAACCAGGGCCAGTGCAAAAACGCCCCAGATACGCGACTGCCAGCGATGCCCAGAGGAAGGTGCCTTCCGACTTCTCCTGGATGATTTTGATTGCTCCATCCCTCTGACTAGTGGTCCATCCCCCGAATGCATTCACTCTGTTCTTAACAAAAGTTTCCAAATCACCTTTTACAGAATCCTTATTAATCTTGATCTTAGTATGTCCGGCGAGGCCGTTTGAAGTGTGGGATACCTCCTGGCTAGAAAAAAGTATTTTGACCCTGCGGAGATTCCTGAGCCCTAGAATCCTTTCAATTAATTCTCCACATAAGTCTTCGTTGAGGCCATCTGCTCCGTCAATGAGGATGTATACGGAGTCTGTTGGGCAATCCTGGATCGTTTTTCCCAGGACCCCCCACGAAGAACTCGGGTTGGTGAAAAGTTTATCCCCCTGGGTTCCGAGTTCAGCCTTGCAGCAATCGAAAAGGCTCTTATCCTGCCGCAAAATGACATATAGTAGGTCGCAGGCTATTTGGGCACTCCTGCGTTTCCGTGACTCGGGGTCATCAGCAGATGTCTTTTCTATGGGGGGTTCGGGCGAGATGAAGTAGTAAACCAGTCTAACTCCGCTAGGAGGATCGTTTGGTCCTAGGAGAAATTTGGCCGCAACACGCTTAGCTAGCATAGTTTTTCCTGCCCCACGGCCACCGCAAAGCCATAGAATCTTTGAACCCTCGCCGTCCTGCCACTCCTTGTACAATTCGTTTTCGAAAATCCAATCTCCGGTACCATTCTCGGGCATGTTAAGCGGGTCACTGAAATGATCTAAGGCGATTTCAGGTGGCGGTACCCCCCAGAGATTTTTCTCTAGCAGCTCATTAAATGTTCCTACAGAAACTTTTAGCCATAAGTCGGGAACAATGAGGGCATTGAAACACTGCATACCAGGAATACTCGAAAATGCTTTTCCACTGTGATTATGTGTGATATAATTTATGTAGTTTTTGTTGCCGTAAACGTTAGAGTCACCGGTGTTATTGCTGAGGTTTCCTACACTGATCGAGCGACCCTGGTTGGGGATATCCTCTTGGATTGAGCCGACCTCACCGCCGGACCGGCGCCTATTGTATGGGGGCCTTCCGAACAAACTTTGGGTGGGTGTTGGGAATCCCCCCCGTCTGATTCCCGATTAGCCTATTTGGACTCATATAAAAAACTCCACCTAGTGCTATACCCTGTTGCCATCTTCCCACAGGTATCTGCCCACTGGGAGAAGTTTAAGGTTTTCGGGGTAAGATTTGCAAGCTGTTGCTTCGATTCACCCTAGTAGTAGATAACGGATAACTTCAGGTATGATACGGTGAGGCGAAGAGGGATGGAGGAAAAAGAATCAATCATTTTATCATTCCAAGTGCGTGAACAGAAGATAAATACACTAGGGCCCAGGAATTCTCCTCCACAGCAGTGGGGTGAAACGTGGGAAATCCAACCCCTCAGTCAAGACAAAGCAAAGGGAATACACACAGCGCCTTCCTAAGAGAGACAGCTACTCTTTTGTGGTGTACAGCGCCCTAACACACATATGGTCTACTCGAGCTTTTACGGCATACGGCGACCTCAGTGAGGAGGCACAGTGCTTTACCTTATTTCCGAAACCCCCCTATGCACATAGGGATAGAGGTAGGGATACTGAGTATGTGAGGCATGCACTATTGGCTAAAAAGGAAGGTTGTAATGGCAGTTGAGCTCCCTTCAGAGAAGCAACCCTCGCAATGTGGTCAGGATGCTAAGCAGGGTGTGAATTGGAAAAATTACATTAGTGCGTTTAGGCTTTGGATTTCTGAGATTATATGCCGTGCAGGAGATCTATTCTACAACAGAAATTATGTAAAAAGGATTGTGCTACAAAGCGAGATTTTCAGGGTTACACGACGCCGATAAATTTACTAGAAGATAAACTCGCATAACTATCACATTCCAAAGCAAACCGATTCATTCGGTACTCAGTCCCGTACCACACTTCGCCCCCAATCTCGCATTTCCCATGTAAGAATTCGCTTCCTGCAACCTGCGGCATAGCTATATGGGTGAGGCGTCCGGTTCGGGTGTCACAATTCAATCTAATGTATTTATCCTCGCTGCGCCAATACGAAATGGAGCTCAATCCCTGTCTTACGGATCTCCCCGGGCCGCGACCAAGTTTCAATGATGGCCGCGATTGGCCGTGCGCAGCAGCACGTGATGCTTGGCTCCATCCCAAACTCTGGTAGCGGAAAAACCCTTGAATTGGCCACCCCCACCTACTCACTAATCTTGTGACTCGGAGACGGAAGTTCTCGAGAGGGACTAGTGCCGTCTAGACACGGCATAGTTAGAGTCCTTTGTTGAGTAAACTTTGCAACTCCGCTAGCTTACCAAAATAATCCTTGGGTAGGTCAATAGTTGCAACCCACACGGATACCAGGAACCAAAAGAGATTGCGTTTGTTACCTCTGGTTTTTACGGTACCGGTAGTTTTTCTGGGAAGAAGCGATACAAGTGGGAGGGCAAATGGCGTGTAGAGCCCCTGTTTTACCAGAGACGGACCTCACCAGCGACGAAAACTACGGTAGGTGGGAGACTCAATTAACCGCGCTCATTATCATCATCGCCTTATATCTGCAAAAAAATCCCATTACCCCCATCGAGTTAAACAGCCGAGAGCTCAGGCAAATTTTCTAAAGCGAGAAGTTTTATTCTCGGTCGCGTGAATACCCTATTGTCTAGTCGTGAGCTTCTGCATCCAACTGTAGCCTAACGGGCTGACTGCGCAAAAAATAATTTCTGGTGCTCTCCCCCCCCGCCGGGCAACCCGATAGAGAGGTGAAGGCAAGGCTAATACAATTCTCAACTGTGACCTCCCAAACTCCTCCAGTCTTCCCTTCCGTGGAAACTAGCATATCCCTTTACTAACTCTCAATGGAGAAATTTCCCAAGACGGACCTACCGGTAGGTGGTATTAACGCAGGTTAATGATAAGGTTTATCACCTGGTTGCTGGATCCCATATGGTTGCGATGTAAGTAAAAACTACAAAATTAGGTTTGGAGTTGAGAACCCTGAATACGAACTTCCACGGTATGATATCATACCTTTACACCTTCATCGGGGTATAATGTTACAGCTGTGGTCTCCAAGTCTAATTCCAAGGAGACCGGTTTCAAGGTATTTGTGAGTTAAATACCTCCTAAGGAGGGTAGTGTGTAAGGAGGGACGCATTTATCGGTGGCTCGTGCGCTTTTTGTAGGGAGGCAACCTCGGTAACTTCGGGAACTCTCTGTTGCGGCAACCGTAGTCTTTGAGTGTAGTGGTTGTGGCCAACTTAGTGCTGAGAACGAACTCTTGTCATTGGGGGGATGGCTGAGGTAACACTTGTAGAATTAGGAAAATCGGTGATAGGGTAGGGCCCGACTGATACAGTAGGAGGCCCGACATCTAATATACCAGTATCGTACCTCAAGGGGTAGGTAAAATCACTACTTATAATTCCTCCTCCCCCTGTCTCTAAAATCAATTTTTTATCACAGTCAGCACCCTAGCAAGCGGCAGCCTCTTAAAAAGCCCGGAGCCCACTCGATATTGAATACCTATAAGGACCCCAGCAATACCTCATTCCCGCACATAACTAACAGACCGAGTTTAGCCATTGCTAGAATCTATAGCGGTGAATGGTGGGCTTCGCAGCTTTGCAGTAACCGTAAGCTAAAATCCTCAAAAATAGCCATCTTGACCAAGGAATAATTTCTAAATTAATCAGACCTGCCATGTTCCTTTATCGGCGAGATCGCAGGTAGAGCACCTGAGGTCGCAAAGTGTCACTACACAATCATATTCCTAGAAGTGCTGCACAGCACCGGTACCACATTTAGTTCCGTAAGGGGATAATTGGCCCCATGCCAAGACATCGTCTCTGGAGGAAGGGGAGAGTAGAATAGCTGAAAAACTGTCTTTTAGCCCCGCACCAAGACAAATAAAAATAAAAATTCGACTAGCCTCACCAGGAGAGGCTAAATAAAAACCCCAGTGTGATCTCCAATTCTTCTAACCTTTCCGGTACTGGGGAGGTATTGTTAAGGGTGCTGGCTATGTTTTTAACCCGAAATATGCTTAGCACGAGCGCAACTATACAAGCATTTCCAAGAACGTTCCGGAGCTCTATAGTCAACCTCGTACACAGCTTTGCCGATAGTTCTTGAACGAGACAGTCGTAACAGGCCTTGATTTACGCTTTCGTTTGCCAAATGTTGAGACCAGGTATAGTTTAACTTTCAAGGGCAGCTCTCAATCCACAACAAGTTTGTTGTACTCGTACCGCCGCAAAATCTCGCACATTACGAACAGAGCCAGATCCATTAATATGGCCCCTCCATGGCAATCAAGGGCCCTTTGAGACAATGGTTTGGTCCGACGCCAGGCAAAGGCTTGATGTCATTATTCCCTCAAGAAAAGCAATCCCGTATGATACACGCTCCCCTCCTCTAATTTCCGGTGGGCCCTGTTTTCTTGCCTTTTTATTTAGGAAGGTCCAAATAGGGTTCAGCTCCAACAGCTCGCACAAAAATTACTCAATCTTATCCGGCCGGTGGGCTTAGGGCTTTAAAGGTGTTCTGATATATCCTTCCGTGCCGGATATGATTAAACACCATGGCTGGAACCCCAATCCTGTCACACCGGCATCAGCACCACTCTTAAGCCTGTTTCCAGTTCGGAGATTCCAGGACCCGGTAAATATCTTGAGAGCACTACCTTCGAATTCCCAGGTACTCCAGAGAGGGGCAGGAATGGAATGGTGGCTTTATCAGCCTGTGTACTTGGGCGGTTATGTGAGGGTTTCGCCCTGAGCGCAAGTTACGAGTAACTTTGACTATTATCTGTTTGAGTATGATACCTGCGTACTTAGCATGGTATCTGTTTTGTTTTATTTCCTCTGCTCTTCATCTTTGCTTCATTTGCCATAGGGTACTCCTCTGAAAGTGTCTACCGGCACGTTATTAGAATATAGTATAGTGTCCCTGAAAGTGGGCCTAATCCAGGAGTGAATCACTTTGTATAGTATATGAAATTTTTCCCTATCCCCAACTTAGAAATTCCGACCCCCAAATTCAGCTTAAAAGAAGTGGCAAATATAACATACTCCACTATCGGCTATGGCCTACTTCTGAATTCTCTCTCCCTACTCTGTCGTGTGAATCGAGATTTCCAGATCTCTACTCTTTAGCACAGAAACTTTTAGCCAATTTGCTTCCCCGACTTATAATACCTGTTTTCAGGTTCCACTCAGTTAATTTCACAAAAAGTAATGCAGGGAGGGCCAATTATCTGATAAACGCTGGCGCCAAATCCGCTAGTTTATTTCTGGATAGATTGGGAACCGGCGGACATTCTCACAAGACATACAGCATAAAATTAGACTATATGAGTCAAAACGGGGGAGAATCCTCAAAGAACATTGAGGACGAGTATCAGTTTTTGGACACTCATGAGCTGTTCTTAGCATTTCAACTTTGTAAGCGAAGACACAAAAAAACGAGCCTCGAGGTCTGGGCAAAGGTCATAGAACACATTACACCCAATAACTATTTTTAATAATATCCAGTTAGGGGAAAATTATATATTTCTCCGAATAAAGTCCGGTTGAATAGCAGTAAAAATGTGGAGTAAATTTTGTAACCAGTGTGGTCCTCCCCCGGAAACTAGCAGAATTGGGGCCCGCGAAAGACACTGTAGAGGCCGAGGTCAAATATCAAGGACTTTGGTGAGGTTTAAAGCTAAATACCGGCCCTGTATTGAACAGCCAATTTCACTCCTTTCACTCAGGTAATAGGTACTTACCTTCCATAAGGAAATTGAAGTCCTGAGCGGGAGGGCATTGCTATGGTATGTGTAGTATTGTGCTCCCACTATTTCTTATGCCCAATCACAAACCAGTAGATGTGCTGGATCTCATAACTGATGAAAAGAAAGACAAGAAGGGGGAAAAATATGACAATTAAGGCTCAGTTCCTCACAACCCCTTTTGTTTCTTCCTATTACACTAATGAGAACACCAAAAATTTCGAGAATGTGATCATATTATGCTGTATTAATCTTAATTTTATCTAGAGCTTTTACGGTCAATAAACTTATGACATACATAAAATACATGCCCCCCCCCAAAAAAAAGGAAGAGGTCAAACAACGATGGAACCTAGGTAAAGTGACCGAAGCCACGAAAAGGGTGAGTCAATATGCTGAGAACCATAGGAGAACAACTCACCTATAGGGGACTAGCTTTGCAATGGGCAACCCCGCAACGATCCAAAAAATGCAGTCAGGGGGGGCAACCCATCTGGGTGAGCACAGAGACAAAAAGCAGACAACTGCATTTCCTGGGAATCTTCAACAGCGTGAGGGTGTTCCCCGGAATTCGGGGGAAGCCAAAGGGGGCAGTGCACACCAAGGGCGATAGCTCCACTGAGTTGGCGCTACTCGAGCGAAGTCGGTGGAATTCATAGGAATAGGTTGCTGTTCGCAGAGGGTGGGTAATATCGTACAGGGTGCAGTGGAAGCCGCCGTTCTCCACCTTACGGTGGGCGCATACTAAGGGCTTCTTGTGCTGGTATTGATGTAGGGGGGTGGGGATAAGGAAGAAGGTAGCGGATGTGGTTCCCGATCCCTTAGATGCAAGAGATATACGATACGATTAGAACAGCATTTAGCTAGAGACCAAAAAACAAAATGACAAGAGCTGGCCTGTCTCCAAAAGATTCATAAGTTAGGTGGGACAAGCTTAGGGGAGACATAGATTGCGATACGCTCTCCCGGGGTAGACTAGCAAATTAGCAAACCAGACGCATTCCTCACCCCCGCCGCCCGCTCGAAGCCCTCTACCCTAAATGAGAACCAGCTCAACTAAGCCATCCAACAAGACCACGATATACTGCCAATACCCGAATTTAGAAAAATCACAAGAACAATTATTTAAGAAAGAAGAGAAAGAAGAAAACAAACAAACAAAGCGAACGCAACTTTCAGAAGCAGGTCGAGAAAGTGGGACCATGGGCCTCAAGAGCCATAGCCCCCGGGAGCCCAAGAAATTACTATGTAACACAACCTAGCCAAGTGAGAATCCTTCCGGGCATTACGATATTTGAAGGGTGATGGATGGAGCCGACTTGCGGCTGGGGATTGGGATGGTAGAATAATGTTAGAGAATTATAAAAAGTCGCGAGCCGGGGAAACGGTTCTCCGGGTTACTAGAGGACACCTGCTGCATCATGGCTCCTTACTTTCCATGGGTTTGCTGATGCATCGATGTAGGAAGTAGGATGTAACAGAAGATGCACGCCCAAGCGCATAACGATACGTCACTTAGCCGCGATGGTTTAATGATGGTTTTGGTTTCACTAACGATCATGTCGCCTGTCTCCACACAGATATCCGCAGCCATATCCTTCCCAAACTTGTCTAGCGTCCCGTCCGCACAAACCCTCCAAGCCACCACAGTTTACCCCACAGTTTCCTCCACAGTTTCCGCCACCGCCTCTTCCAAGGCTCCCCCCTTGGCCCCTCTGTCCGATCGTCCCTACTCTCCTCCCTACGCTCCTCCAGGTTCTCCCCCGCAGCCGGCGCTGTTTGCGTTAGAATATCCAAGCTGTCTCCTCTTCCAAAATTATTGCCCAGTTGCAATGCTGTCACCCCCTGTTTGTTCCTGATGGTCTGATCAGCCCCTTTCTGGACTAGAAACTTGACTATATCCGGATGATCGAACCGAACAGCAAGGTGAAGTGGGGTATCGCCGGAATTATTCTCCTTGTTGATTTGGCCTCTGTGTGAAAATTTCTCTAACCGCGCGAATTCTTCCACCAGAGATTTTAGCATATTCGAATGACCGGAAACGGCTGCTTCGTGTAGCGGCGTGTTTCCGTATTGATCTTGCGCTATGAAGAGGGATGGACTACCGTTGTCTATCAGAATCTTGTATGCCCGAGATGGAAACCTTGCTGCTAGGTGTAGTGGCGACTGGTCGCTGTCTGCCCCCTTCGCCCCACGGTTGAAACTTAAAAGAGCCTCTTCTACTAGTGGTATGAGCCCCAGACAGACTGCGACGTGCAGGGCCGTCTGATCCCCTTTTAAAGCCTCCATTTTTGGATCTCCGCAGAATTCAATCCATGGCTTTCTGATGATATCTTTGGCGCCGAAGAACTGATACCCCAACCAGTTACGAGCAGGGTTGTTATGGAATCTGTGATCTCCAGCTTCTGCGCTCCGCCGGGCATGAAGAAACCAGGATTCTGCAGCATATCTAAGATATGGCCACAGCGCGGCTTCCCGCTGGTGCCTCCGTGCCAGTTCACATGGGGTCTCAGCTGGATTCCCCCGGGGATCTCTGTTTGAGCTTGACTCCTGGTATCTACCGTGAAGTCCCCTGATAACTCCCGGCGGGGGTTTCCTCAGGTTTGGAATGGCATGGTGAAGGTATCGGAAGCACTCCCAGGAAACTGTGAATTCGAGGTCGCTTTTATCGGGCAGATCTGGGATATCCTCCAGGATTTCATTGAAAAGGTATTCCGTTGCGGTATGATGGACAATGGATACGGTCGTGGAGCTTGCCCTGAGAAACGATAGAGAGGACCGTACATACTGCCTAATATCCTCTTCTTTTTTTGACCGAATTCCCGTATTTCCCTGAGGCGAGAGATGTTTGTCAGTTCCTGCTTCCTCTTTTTCCATACATCCCACGATATGTCCGAGTTCTCCAAACGTAAGGGGGCGCAGAGCGAGCGCCACACTCCGGATCACACCCAGAACTTCCTCCCATCCCTCCCGAGACTGGATATCGAGTAGAATTTTTCGGTACACGTCGTTAAGCTGCAGCGGGAGTTTCCGTATAAGTGCTTCATAGCTATGGCCCACACAAGAATGCCCCAAACTTCCAACAGCCAGCGATGACCAGAGGAAGTTCCCTCCCGACCTCACCAGCAGAATTTCGATTGCTTCGGTCTTCTGCTTGTCGTTCCACCCCCCGAATGTATTCACCTTGCGCTTGATAAAATTTTCCAAATCCCCCTTTACGGAATCGTTCTTGTCAATGTTGATCTTCGTGTGTTTAGAAAGGTTATCAGAAACGTGGGATACATCCCGACTGGAAAGAAATATTTTTACTCTGCGGATCTCCATGAACCTTAGAATCCTTCCAATAAACTCTCCACACAAGCCTTCTTCCAGTCCACCCACGCCATCGATGAGAATGTATACAGAGCCTATTGGGCAATCCCCGATCGCTTTTCTTAGAGCTTTCCACAAGGAATTCGGGTTAATGAAAAATTTATCCCCCTGAATTTCAAGTTCAGCCTTGCAGCCATCGAAAAGGCTCCAATCCTGCTGTAGGATGCTACATAGTAGGCCCCAGGCTGCCTTGGCGAGCCAGCGTTTCCGATACTCGGGGTCATCAGCAGATATCCTGTCTGTGGAAATTTCGGGTGAGACGAAGTAGTAAACCAATTTGACCCCTCTCGGAGAATCCCCGTTCCCCCGGAGAATCTCGGCCGCAACGCGCTTGGCTATCGTACTCTTTCCTGTCCCAAGGCCACCGCAAAGCCAGAGAACCTCAGGTTTCTCGCCGTCCAGCCACTCCCTGTACCAATGTTCTTCGAAAATCCATGCTCCAGCACAATCCTGGGGGAGGTTGTGGTGGTCGCGGAGATAATCCAAGTCAATTTCTGGGTGACATACCCCCCAGCGGGTTCCCGTCACAAGCTCCCGGAAGGTTTCTACCCAAATTATTAGTCGTAGGTTGAAAGCAAAGACAGGCAACAACAGGCCGTATACCAGGAGCATCTGAAATCCCTGAGGGGGGGATGGAGCCGCTAATTCTATTGGAGCCGCAGTGATTGTCTGGGAAGTTTCCGGGATTTAAACTTCCGGCGGGTACCTTTGGGAATAATTGCGGGCTGATTGCCTATTAGCTAACCTAGACCCATATGGGGAGACAATCTAGCATGATACCTTGCTGCCATCTTCCCAATGGTTTTCGCTCTAGGGAGATCTTTTGAGTTCTTTGGGGATAGATGGCAAACGGTTGCCACAACTTGCCCCGTAGTGGAAAACGGATATCTTTGAGTATAGTAGGGTAAGGAGGGATAAAGGAGCGCAATGCCGGGGAAGAAGAAGCAATGATGTTAATACTGTAAGTACTACATCCGAAGATAAAGGTGCCAGAAGCCTGGATTTTTCCTTCCCGGCGATAGGAGGAGAAAGCACTGCAATCTTAGCCCCTCCCCAGTTAAGATAGAATAAAAGGTAATCACGTAGAGCCCTCTTCTGGGAGGAAGATACTGCATTTCACTGTGCAACACACGATCTTCTATTTGAGTATTCACGGTATCCCTTGGTCCGTTACGCGCCGGGTCCATGATGTCTTACTTGGGGAAGCAACCAGATCTAGAAAGTGTTCTTCCTTGGTTCGAAATAGATTACTAAGGGAGAACACTAGGACCTTGCCCCAACAGTCCCTTGTATACAGTAGTAGGTTATGTGATACCGTGAGCTTGGCAAAGAAAGACACAGTGCATTACCTTTTTTTTTTTCTTCGAAACTCCCGGTATGCACCTTGGGGCATAGGCAGTGGTATTGGGTGTGTGGGGCATGCACCGCTGGCCACAAACGGCAGGAGCCTGGTGAGGGTAGGACCCCGTTCGGGAAACAACCCTCACTGCGCCCTTGGGAGGCTAAATTGGGTACCGGTATGGGTTAGAGAAAATAGATCGAGGTGTATTTGGTGCTTCTCTCTGACACCGTACACTGTGTGGGTGGTCCCCGATGGTATGCCAACAATGTCCATGGATGAAGGGTTGGGCTACACAGAATTTTTTCCCGAGTACCGCTATACACGGTACTGGTATATCTGCCCGCATAAATTATCACATTCCAAAGCCAGCTCGTTCATTGGATGTTGGGTCTTGTACTACACCTCGCCTCAAGTTCGCATTTCCGATGGGAGAACTCGCTTCGGTCCTCCTGCGGTGTCAGCATTGCGGGTGGGGCGCCTTCCCGGATGTCACCGTTCAATCTACCGGTAATCTATTTACCCTACCGGTACTGTAGCTGTGACGCTGAAATGTGGCTCAATATCTGTATTGCGGGATTCCCCGAGATGCAACCAAGTTGCCATGGCCCCACGATGGCCGTGCGCAGTCGCATGTGATTTTTGGCCCCACCCCTGGCTCCGGGACCCCCCTCCCAGGAGTCAGGGTACACAAGCGGGAAGGAGAATGACTGGGGAATCCCTGGACTCTCAAGACACCCCAGCCCCCACTCCCGCCAGAGATACTCGTACAGTACAGCCGCGATGAAGGCGACCCGGAAGTGGGGGACCCGATCAGGTTCTTGTGCCGTACGCTCACATCCTGTGATTACTTGGCGTCCGCAAACATCCCATTGCGATCTCTGCTAGTACTGTACTCGGACCAAGTTAAACGACGGCGAACTGGGGGGAATTCCTTAAAATGAGAAATTTCATTCTTGGCCGTTTAAATGCTCGCTAATCACTTGTCGCCCAGACCTTAGGAACTACTTCCAACGGCAACCTAAGTGGTCAACACCGCAAAAAAAACCGAATTTTGGCTATGATGCGCTTGTGTGACCATGAAAGGCTAGGATGGTGGTGTCACCCGTATGAACACCAATTGCTATCTTCAAAATGATCCCTTCAATCTCCCCGTGAACGCTATAGAAATTCCTTCACTGATTTTCATTAATATGATAACCGCTAGGTCCGACGGTTGTAGTGAGAAACCTCATGTTGTGTGCGAGCCCTTGGGGTTAAGGAATAGTAAAGGTTGAGCTCTCAGAATTGTTAACACTACCCGCGAGCACAGTTGAATTAGTAAATCGGGCCACAGGGTGGGTTCCGGTGGGCACCGTGGGGGAAACATAGGTCTGGCGCATCCTGACTTGAAGGGCCTCGTCGATTTCTGCTTGGAATATCCATTCCCCACCCTCTGAAATCGCTTCTCTACCGTCCGTCTTTTCTCCTGCTGCGTCCTCGCTCCGGAAGACCTTCAACCTAGGCTAAACACCTAGAAACCCATTAAATACGTAAGCGAGCGAACACCGCTACAGGGCGCCCGAGTACTATTGCGGGGTCTGTTATTTGAAAGCCGGTTTGGATGGCTCGAGATCAGATGAACGCATGAAAGTTTCGCCTGGAACTCAAAACCTTAACCTTTAGGTACTATTAAACCCGGTATTTGTTTTTAATTTTATCTCTTCCGGTTTTTGTATCCGATTTGGGCTTTTATCCGCCACAGGACACTTCCTGAACCCAGTGGAAAGTGCCCTGGAAAGTGCCTTTCTAACGCCATAATGCAAGATACCATTGCTATACAATGGAAGAAAAGAAATACAGAACCTCAATTACCTGGCAGACCCTGGTGCTAAGCTCTGGTACATTGCCGGATACTTCTGGAATTGGCGAGTAGACTATCACCAGGAATGGCACGATAGAAAGATTGGATGACATCGGCCATCCCTTCAGAGAACTTCTGGATGTATTGGGGGTGAGCACTAGTCTGGGGTGTTAACCAGCACTTTTGATATTTTTAGGTTTGTGTAGGGAAATACCAATAAATGGACCGCAAGAGTCGGATCAAAGCCATTGATTATGCCCCATCCCGTGATCGCTTTCCACAATTCCTAGCGAGAGAAGTATTTTATAATTTTCCCAACACAAATGGGAGTAGTGCGGTTGTAAACAATTTTAAGCGAACTTGACTGGCGTGGCACTAAAATCAGGAGCCTACCAAATCAAGCCCTAAATAATACCTCATGGGCAACGAGGAGAAATGCTATCGGATTCTTTGGGATTTAGGACCTATTATCGGCCCCTGCAGACAGCTATGTATTTTATTTTCTATTTCTTATACAGACTCTT